GCGCCGCGGCGCCGCGTCGCGTAGCGCTGTGTCATCGATTCCACGATCGAGAAGCGGACAGAGGCGCAGGCCAGAAAGACGGAAGGAGATAAAAGGCAGGCCGAAAGTAAAATCACGTTGGAAGAGAGGAGGCGTTGAACGTTGGTTCCCGCATCGCCCCGAGGACGTTCCCATGAGTCGGGGGCGGCAGGAAGGCAGTTTGCCGCGCTGAGAATCGTTTCGCTGCTACTCGAGGGCATCGGCGTTCCTGGGCAAGATCGGTGCGTGCAACCGTTCCTTTCCAACGCGTTATTACCAGAAGAAGCCTTAATAATCGGCTAGGACCGTTTTCTCCTTACGTTTCTATGTTCAATGCGAAATCATTCCAGGTCGATTATACCTCGAAAAATTTACACACGCGGTGCCTCCATATTCCATATACACCCCGATCGGTCGTTCGGTCGAGCAATGAAAATCGAACGTGACGAGACGCGAGTGTACGCCGATGTTTCTTCGGTTCAAACGAAAGTTTCTCCAATCGTGGTCACCGCTGATCCTCGTGAAATTTGAAGTCGCGCGGAAAGCGTGTCCGACGCGCCGCGAATACCGTGATCAGGAACGCATATGAAACTCGAGTCGCCCGCTCGATCGACGCGTCTATAAGTAAGCGTAAACTCGCGTCGAATTGACGCGACGCCACGCGACGTCGTTCGACGTCACAGGACGCGACGCTCGATGGTAAAGGCGCGAGCGATCGGGAACGCCGCTTGCGCGTATTCGTGGCGACGATCCATCGTTGCGGACGCGAATCAGAACGTTTTCGATAATCGAACACTGCGAAGATAACCGCGCGGATTATCATACGTGCGCGTGCACGTTGACAAAAGTTTAGCTTATAAAGCTGATTAAACCTTAGTTAATCACAACGGAGTAGGCAAGCATCCGGCGAAGGAAGGTGCCCCTTCTGACGACGACCAGTCGACTCGTCTGCTCGCCTGGTAAACGATTCGTCGGGCGGGCGGTCCCGCGCGGCAAACTTCACCACGGCTCTACCTCCGTTTCTCTTCTGATCTCCTCTTCTTTCTGACATAGCGATTGAATTCGGTAGCGCAGTCCGCGAATGCTTGGCATTCTACCGCCTTCGTCTTAAGTACATAAGTCCGGCCACTACGTTCTTCTTTAAGTATTTCCTTGACTGGTACGATGATTTACAGCGGCTCGCCAAACACTCGCCGAAATACGTAGAAACCTTTTACGCGTATGTTATACAAAAACGTTTTGAAATCTCGTTCGTTAGTCTCGTAACGAGACATAGATATGGTGATTATACGGATTGGTAAAATTTTAGATGCACGTAGAAATTACAAGATATTTTCTAGAAGTTTACGAAAATATTTTTGAACAGATAATTATTCGTTGCGTATATTAATAACGAACTAGAATATCTTGCGAGATCATTTTTTGCACTAATCGTATGTTTGAAAGTAATATTTACGTCGTATACTAGTTTCTCACTAAACCTATATTTGCAAATATATCTCGTAGCTTCTATGTGTATTTTTGCATTGCTTTTAAACTTTATCATTGCAACGACCATAGACGTATCTCATTACGGAGCTAGGGTTTCACAAAGCTTCGTAAAATGCACGTAATATTTTCTGTGGTGAGCGTTCGAATACATGCGCGAGTCACTGTACTTACGTGGCGTCTGCTTTAACGTTATACGGCTATTTTGCACGCGCATATTCGATCAATCGTTACGTATTTGCTCGTTCGTCGATCAACGAATCGTTATTTTGTCGTTACCCTTTGACCTTCTCGCCAGGGACCGGATGTTCCATAACGTATCGTTGGTAATCGGTACGTAACGGAAAAGTTGAACGTTTCCGATGATTCGTCGCTCGTTCATTTTGGTTTCTCTCGAGTTTAAAACGCGTAAAATTACTCGAAAGCGTAAAAACGATAAAAGACTTAACCAGGTAAGAAATCGCGAGGTTCGGGCGCTATTCAGCGCGAGATAAACTGCGATGAATAAATTAAAATTAAGAGGAAGGTTGGGGCGAAAGAGAAGGCGCGAATGAACTCTTGGACCGACTGTGTTCCTGGTACATCGGCAGAGCGCCGCAGCGCCACGCGTCACGGCGAGCACCACCGCAACGCGCGGCGCCTATACGCCGGTCATCGCGACGCAGATGCGCCGCCTCGCCGCCGCCTGGTCGCCGCGGCGCGGCGCGC